TATGCAGATGTATTATATGGGTGGTTGAAAAGTTCAACAAGGTCATGTACCGTACACGATGTAGCAAATTCCAGTCTTCTAGTAACTCTTGTGGTGTCAGACATCGTGATACATCAACATTCCGTTTTCCAATACATGGTTCTGGATCTGATGTTGCTGTTGCTTCTATTTGATCGTTTTCGGTTAACGACTGAACAGTAGCATTTTCAACTATAAGAAAAAGGAAGCAACTTAAAAATTTTATATAAAATATCAATGAATTAAAAAGAAACATTTTTATAACTGCAGTAAAATTTGCATGATTTATTAAATTTCTGTTATTTGTTCATATTTTTGGTTTTTTACATTCAGAATACAAAAATAAGTTGCGGAAGCAAAAACACAGTAAAGCGTAAAAACTGTACTGAAAAATGGGCTAACTTTCATTTTCTATGTACACATCTGAACGCTCCAGTGGTGTCCGAATTGTTGTTGGTGGAACCGGTGGAAGTGCTTCAATTAGTTTGGTTCGTATTTTACTGATATAGTTGGACAGTTCATCATGGACTCCTTGATGAAAGAAACCAAAAATAACCAATATTGTAGTTATGGTGAGCAAACAGGCTGGAATGCAGTAGCCCAGACGATGATCTAGTTTGTCCTTATAGACTTTTAACGACTGAAAACCTAACTGATTTATTGTCCAGAAATCGCTGTCAATTAGATGTTAAATAACATCATTAATTTTTTTTTTTCAATTTGATTTTATTTTTAGGGTATAATAATGATTTGGTTTTAATTTTTCTTTTTTTTTTTTTAAAATACTCTAATTTTTTTCTGTAATAAATTTATATAAATTTTTACTGCTGTTGTTGTGCAATTTTTTTCAATAATTTTTAATACTTTTTCAAAAATTTATTGCTATTGTATAAACTGTCTGCCTGTGTTCAAATGAACAAACAAATGGATAGTGAAAAAAATGTTAACTTGAAAACTGAGTGACCAAAAAAAAAAAAAAAAAAAAAAAAAAA